AATAAGTTGCAGCATGGCGAAAATTGATGTAATTTTTGTCGAGTTTTGTAATTGATGTATTATTTTAGAGAGTTTGGATGGAATATTGAGATTTTATTGGCATTACAATGAAATTGAGAAATTAGTGTAATTAATTTAGACATTCGTTAAATAGCACATGGTGGTAAAAGCAAGAATATTACGTATTTAAAACATAAACAGTTTGCAAACACGGCTGCTTCGCCATTACTACAATTTCAATTGTTTTCCTACTCCACAGGGTAGCACTTAAATTTACCCTAGGTTACATATAAATATACAATATATTTTCAACTATATTACAAATATGTTTTTACATTTTTTTTTAAATAGAGTGATGAATTTGGGCACAGCAGACCCTTTGAGTGCAAAATATACGAAAACAGGATAATTGGTTGAATAAATATATCGTCAACATTAAATTCAATATCAGCCATCCAAGAATTTAATAATAATAATAATTTAATATAGTATAATAAATATACTTTCAGAATCCAGAAATTCACTCAGACATATAATTTAATAAATTTCCTAAAGGTTTCTTACCCCTGAACATCTGCATCTATTTTTTCTCTATTTTATCCCATGTTCATCTATTTCATCATATTACATAAGCCAGGCTCTCATTTTATTTAGAAATGGCTTCGTCGAACTTTTTTATTCCCCGATATTAAAATTTATATTCAAAGTTCGATGCAGCTCCGATGACATTTTCAAAAAGAAAAATATGTACTTCGAAACGAGAGAAAATTATTAGAGGTATATTATATTCGTGTCTGGATATTTTCATACATAATAAAATAGAGGCTTGGAATCGAGAGATTGTATTTTACAAACTGCAAGTGAAAGATAAATTTTTGTAAGGAAAATGAATTGAATTATAAGAACTTTGAAATAGAGCAGATGTCAAGTATTTTTAATATTTTTGTTGGTGGAGTATGAATTTTACACAGAATATCTCACATATATTTATCATAAATAATAATTCTCTAAATGGCTTTAAAGACATAAATACCAATCTTACTTTGTATAAAACGAGCAAAGAAACTGATCTAGTTATCAGCAGAATTTTACGAGCACTAACAGTCTTCAGAATTACTGTAATTTCCTACAATTTGCAGAAATTGCATTATATTATATTAAGACATATTCTTAATATTTCGCAAATGAAGTACAAAATGTAATATGTATCTCAGATGAATTTCGGAATCGTGAAACTTGCACTTGCACGAAATATATAACTTGTTATGATATGCATATAAGAGTAGATGGAGAGCTGGTAGAAAGATTATAAAAAAAAATATTTTTTATGAGTATATCTGTATGTGTGATTGACAACCCAAATAGAAAGGAAAATCTTCAAATTTACTAAATGAAATTTATTAGTGTGATGATTTGATCAATTTATTGCACCAATGTTTCAAAATAATATTGATTAATATTGATGTTGATTGATATTTCATTTTAAATTAAGAACAGATATCAATTAGCAAATCAACTGATATCAAACTTTTAAAATTCTTCAATCTTCTTCAATATTCAATTTAATCAATTTTTTAAATTAATATTTTTGCATCTTTTATTTTATATCTAATACTAACACCATAATTTTTTAAGTACATTTTTTTTTATTATTAACTTCCCGTAGGGTAAGTTATTGTAATGGGCCGAAAATCGGAATTGAAAATTTTTACATTTCTCGACGTTTTGAGGGTTTCTGAACGTTTTGGCATACTTCAGAAAAAATGGATGTGTGTGTGTGTGTGTATGTATGTATGGATACAAATTTCCATTCACGTTTTAGGGCGCACGGGTCAACCGATTCTTATTGATTGGGAAAAGAGCTGATTAGTTTTTGGCAAAGGCAGGTCCAGATGTTTCGGAGATACAGAGCAATGAGTGCAGAAAATAGAAATCGAATTTTTGAGAGAACGAAGTATCCGTTCTGAATGATCTAAAAAACATTCAATTAGTAATGATTGGGAGAAGTGTTTATTAGTTTTTGGCAAAGGCAGGCCCAGCCATTTTGAAGATACGGAGCTAAATATGTAAAAAATGGCAGTTTTTGAGAGAACTAAGCGTCTGATTTAAATGATTCAAAGAACTTTCTGCTTGTCTTAACAAAATAATTGATTTTGAAAAAAAAAAATTTGTTTCAATTTTTTTTTTATTTAGTTTTTTGTATATCGAAAATATTTCAGATTTTATTTTTAATTCTGACTATAGTTCTAATATACTTCACAAATAATTTCAACTCTGCAATTCAGTTTATATAATTCTTATAAATATTAGGCAATGTTACAATATTTATAATAATCTATTTGAAAACATTCAGTATTCCTCGAAAATTTCGTTACGGTACGGGAAGTTCCAGCAATTTGCCTTAAGGCACGATGCCATAATTGCCTCAAGACAGAATTCCACTTACAGCTAGTTTAATTTTTATTTACACCTTGACCAAAATTTTTTATTTTTATAAATGTAAGAACTATTTTATTGCATGCCGACTCCTTTCCAAACAAATATTTAAATTTCAAAATATGTATGTGTATTATTTCGTGTTTTATTTATTCGTGTCTTGTCTATATGGTTTATCTCAGGTTTCAATTAAACAATCGGTATAATAAATATTACGACACAATCACAAATCCTTTTACTTCATTTCACAATGGTGCGATTTATGCTAATATTAACATTTAATTGTTGTTCAGAAATTATTCCATATTGAATAGAGAAGGCGATAATTTTGAACAAAATCATAATACAAATGTAAAATTTTAATTTTTTTAAATTCTGTTTTGAGTATGACGAGTATACACGTCAATACACAAAATTCTGCTGTATATTTGTCAACCACAATTAATTAATAAATATTATGATTTTTGGCATATTGAGCAAATTGTTTTACCTTACGTAAACCAACAATCGTATCCTAGAATGGACCTATTAATCTCTTATATTATTACAGCTGGAAGTACGAACGTAGGTTTAGCATTAATAATATTTTCTCTCCATGAATAACAACAATTGCATATCTATACACATATCTGTAAATAATGCAAGTTTAATATTCTCAACTTATTGTTTTGTTAAGACAAATGCCCACGCGAATGCAAACGCCTTCGAGAAATAATTATCGTCGGCTCGACTAAGACGAAGTTCTTAGTTCTTTCTCTTGTTATGATTTATTAGTCGTTTCATTTAAGAAGGTGAATGGAAATCCGACTAAATAAACTAAAAGCACTTTTATGTGTTAGAATGTGCGTTGAATATAGAAATTAAGCGTCATTTTTAGCCGTTTTAGAATGCCTAGAAGAAAAAGCAATGAAATCATTAAAGCTGAACTATCAGCAAAATTTATTGACTTTATGTCTAAGACTGAAAATAGTAATTAACTAGCGGTGTATGGCATCATGCCTTGAGGCAAATTGCTGGAACTTTACGTACCAAAAATTTAGGTCTAAAAATTTAATCAGTTCTTCATCTTGTCAATACAAATAAAATGTTTTTTAAATTATTGAAATTGGACGCCCCGTCCTCTTAAAAACCGAGTTACCGTTTTTGGCACTTTTTGGCCCGTATCTTCGGAACGGCTAGACCTGTCTTCTCCAAAAACTAATCAGCACGTCTCCCTATCAATATGAAATAAGGTTTTTTTAATTATTCAAATCGACTGATCCGTGTTCCCGAAATCGTCGACGAAAATTTGTATAGGCACACACACACACACATACATCCATTTTTTCTAAGGTATGCCAAAATGTTCAGAAACCTCTGAAACGTAAAGATATGCAAAAAAAATATTTTCGATTTTCGGCCCATTACTATAACCTACCATAGTTAAAAATGACTGTCAGTTTTTGTCTCTTGCTGGAACAACAATTAAAATAATAATTTTTCCTGTTTGAAATGTTCATTAATTTTGAAAAAAAAATGAACAAAATGGAGTTGTTTTTGAGGACTTTCTTCGAACAATCTTTATTGGCTTGATAATTGCTGTTCATAAATAAAAAAAATAGTTTTAAGATCACCCAGCAATTTTTATTAAGTTATCATTATTGTTCTTCCTGAATTAAAAACATTTTCAAGATTTTCCAGCATTTTGTCTTAAGTTATTACAAATATCGTTTCAAATCGTAATCACGCACGTTTGCGACACCTAGCAAAACAATTATTTCTTAAATATGATACAATGGCTTTTTAAAATTAAAATCCCATTTTTCTCAGAATATTGTACGCGTAAAATGTTGTAACATTCTGCAAAGTATATGTAAGGTCGTCCAAGATATCATGCGTAACTTCATTAAGACATTATTCGCTCGGTAGAACGTAACTAACGTAAATATTTGCCTAAGAATAATTATTATTAACATAAATTATAATTGAAAAATATTATGACATTGTAGATTATGCACATTTTGTGTGATGCAATAATGCATGTTTTATTTCATATCGCATTGCATTTAAATAAGGAGCCAATTCTCCTATAGAAATGTATGTTATGGGTTTACCTTCGTATGAATTGATAATAAGTAACTGCCAAAAAGCTTTTCATACATAAAACCTAACTTCGCTTACGTGTTATCAATGAGACATCAGAAAGATGCACTCATGATGAAATTGTTGTTTGCTGTTTGTGCGTTTTGTAGGTAGATTTTATTTACGAAACGTCTGAACGCACAGCACAAAATTTCGACAGTTTTTACTACGAAAGAATTGGCACCTAAGATGTAAGAGGATTATTTATATCATAAGACGAAATATTATGAAAATTCTCTTCTAATTTTATAAAACATTTTGATACAAAATATTCTACAAAAAAATGTGCAATTAGATAGGTGTATTCTAAAGTTACGTATATAGAGTGCGATAAATTGTACAAAAATTATCAGCGATAAAATTCATCAAATATCAATTCATGTTGAATTTATTTGTTAAAATCTATTATTACATAATAATGTTAAATTGTATTTCTGTTTCAGGCTGGAAAAGGTGGAGGCGCTCCTTATTATGTTGGAGGATCATCCACTTTGCCAAGACTTGGGGGCTATGACAGAAAAAGTTTACCACCTTCAGGTAAAAAATCATTTTTATTCATCAACTATATAATTATTTATTTATTTATATATTTACACATGCAGCAATATTTAAGTAATAAAAATAATATGATTTTCCAAGAATTTCTTTCTAAAATAAATTCTACACTGTATGTAAATAGCTAATTTGTAAATAGGCCAAATAAATTCTTTTTTGGGAAAGCATTTATCAAAATTCTTCTACATTCGATTTTTCTGCATTTATTACATTAATACCCAATTAATACATTTAATTACACATAATTCAAATCTGCTAATCCATTCAGAGTCATTTACCTTTGTGACACAAATGTTGATTAAAAACCAAACAGAACAACATTCTAAAAACCTGGTCCTGAAGTATTTATTGCGAGATCAAATGAAATGTGAATTATTATGGCGACGATTGCAAAAATCAAACAGGTGGAAAGGTTTTTTGCAATAAATGCATATTTTATAAGAAGAAAATTACAGGTTAAATGACATAAAGCACATAAAAGGCAAAGCGGTATGAATTAGTTATGAATGTCGGATTTATGAGGTAGTAATTATATGGTATAAAATTTAATTTTTGTATAATACGGTGAAATATTATTACAAATATTTCTCACTCTGTTCTTTGCCTCATGAATGATATAATTACTCAAATCGACTTAAAATTTTTACCTCTATAAATATGTCTCTCATACTGTTTGTTGTTGTAGTGCAGAACGTGTGTTTTGTCCACTAATATATAATTTTGATCGATTTCTACGTAATATATTTCAACAAATACCGAATATTCCTCTATTTTGGCCATAGAAATGCTTTTAGCCAATTAGCCATCATCATCGCATTTAGCACTCTAAATCGACCATTCGAAATTATTAACATTGCAATTAATTTCCCTGGAAATTGCATTGCAATTATCGGCTTAATTCAACATAATTTTGCATTTCTGTTCGACAACTACAATAGACGATTATACTGCAATATCAGAATCAGGGCTGAAGAATTTTTATACACATTTTTATACGAATTTAACAATGACGAGATTTTGCTTAATGAATAAGTAGATAAGATTTTGTTTAAACTGATAAATCATATTTACACTATTTTTAATTGTATATTTTTCTAATGTATGAAATATATCGAAAAATAAGGCAATATTCGATATAGTATTGCTTTTTAACTACTTAAGAAATATATTGTATAATTTTCAGTACCTCGAATTTTTCTAAGTAAGTAAATATTAAAAGTCGGGTTTTTTGCCATAGTTGTATGCAGGGAATGCAATACCGATGGAAAATTTCAATACCAATATTTCGGTAATTTTTCATTTTAAAACCGGAATACCGGTAAATTACCGGTATTTTTATTATCTTAAACAAACGTAAACAAACTTGAAAGTTACTAGTACAAATATAACTACAACTATATTCAACTAAACAATAAAATAGAACAATAAGTTTATTTTTTTAAATAATAATTTAACAAAAGTGTATGCAATTTAATTAATTCATTATCACTATCGAGTATATTGAGTACTTTTCACCAAAAACAAACTTATGAATAAGAAAGACCAAAAACTCATAAAAGATCATATTACATTATTATAATAAACTGTATTGTCTGTATCCGATGTGGTAAATTAGCATAATCTCCAATATTTTTAAAAAATAATTTTTCTACACAAAAATAAGATCGGATTCTTTGTCGAGATAAATAATAAGTTACTATAATTGCTGAGTATTGTTATTTAAAACAATGTGATGCTTCTATAGTATTATCAATTTTCAAAACCTTTTCGAAAAATAATATTTTATAATTGTAATAAGAAACAAAAAATATTTAGTAATTATCATAATTATTATGTATAAAGTTAGAAAAAAATAAAGATTACGCAGGAGTAATCTGTATGATATAAAATATTTTGGCGCAAATAGATGAAATATTTTTACAAAAAGATGAAACAAACATTATTATCTATCAGTCCAATTCTATTTATTGTAACACGATATGAAGCCCTTTGGAAAGAAATAAATATTCAGTTTAATGGCGAGTTGAGATAATATTTGACATTTGTTTATCTTGTAGAATCACTTAAAGATATAGCTGTTTGTGCAATTATGGAATTTAAAGATAAATTTGTTCCGAGAAATTTAAACTTTAGGGTTTTATGTATCAAATAGCGCTTATGTAAAAATAACGAAAACACCGGTATTTTTGGAATAAATACCGATAAAAATACCGCCGAAAAATCGGGCGGTTTACCGGTAATTCGGTATACTGGTATACCGGTATTGCATTCCCTAGTTGTATGTATAATATTTGACATAATCTTTGAAAAATTTCTGTCATTTATTTTACTAGAAATACGTTATTTTATCGTTTAATAAATCTATAAATATAGGAATGTTGATCTATTCATGGTTTGTATAATTAGTTCGTTTGCGATTCGTATTAATATATATGGAACCGCAAATTTGTATGCGAAATCGCTCTCTGTGCGAGATTTAATATAATTGCATATGAAATATTCATTCGCTAATCAACCCACATATCAAATATACCATTTAAAATTTAGTTTTGAATAATAAATACCTTATATTGCTGATTTAAAACATATACCATATAACTATAATGAAGATAATATGAAAAATCTTAACAAGTGGTGGATCTTAACAAATTGCTGTAATTTCCCGTACCATGATTTGGCATTTTTAAAAGTTTTAAAATTTTGAATAAATTAGACATTTTTGCAATTTTTGATTTTTTGAAATTTTTGGAAAAAATAGTATTTGATATATTATGAAAATTTTCAAAATTCTAGTCGGTTGATCTCTATAGCGTCAAAAATATCGAAGAAATTTGATTGAACTATTGACAAATAGCCTATGAAAAATTATATCCAAACACATAAATACAGACACACATAAAACCATTTTTTCCAAGATATGCCAAAACTTTCAAAAACCTTTGTAACGTAAAATTATACAAAAATTTTCATTTTTTTTTTGTTTTTTGTAATTACTATAACTTACCTTATGAGAAATAACAGATATTCTTACATTTAGAATTGTAAATCAAAGATACTTGTCTTTTGCTAAAAACCAACACTTTTCTTATTCTTTAAATATAACATTTTATCATAGAATTTGCTTTATAAAATAAGCTACTGAAAATTTGTTACATTATTTCTTAGAACTTCATTAGAATTCAATTACACGCTCTTTAACGAAAGAAAAATAACCATGACATCTTTTGCTATTGGAAATTTCTCCATCACATCTTGTTTTTGCATCTTTTTTTTATTATCTTGCTTTTTTGCACAAACGAAAACGATCTCGTTGCAATTAAATCTTTATTAGTAGAAAATAGGAAAAATAGGAAGGAAAACATTTTGCTTTCAGCGAAGAAAATAACTAGTGGTTTGTATGGCATCGTGCCTTCAGGCAAATTGCTGGAACTTCCCGTACCGTAACGAAATGTTCGAGGAATATTGAATGTTTTAAAATAGATTATTATAATGCTGTAACATTGTCTAAAATTTATAAGTATTATATAAACTGAATTGCAAAGTTGAAATTATTTGTTTAAAGTATATTAGAACTATAGTCAGAATTAAAAATAAAATCTGAATTATTTTCGATATACGAAAAAATGAAGTTGAAACCAATTTTTTTTTCCAAAATCAATTATTTTGTTAAGACGAGCTGAAAGTTCTTCGAATCATTTATATCGGACGCTTAGTTTTCTCAAAAACTGCCATTTCTTACATATTTAGCTTCGTATCTTCGAAATGGCTGGGCCTGCTTTTGCCAAAAACTAATAAATACTTTTCCCAATTATTACTAATTGAATGTTTTTTAGCTCATTTAAATCGGATACTCCGTTCTCTCAATAAGTCAATTTCTATTTTCTGCACTCTTTGGTCCGTATCTCCGAAACGGCTGGACCTGCTTTTGCCAAAAACTAATCAGCTCATCTCCCTATCAATAGGAATCGAATGTTTTTTGAACCATTCAAATCGGTTGATCCGTGCGCCCGAAAACGTGACTAGAAATTTGTATCCGTACATACATACACACAAACACACACACACACATCCATTTTTTCTGAGGTATGCCAAAATGTTCAAAAACCTTCAAAACGTCAAGAAATGTAAAAATTTTCAATTTCGATCTTTGGCTCATTACAATAATTACATTATACTAACTAATAAATTACATTATATTACCTAACTAAGTTAATAAGAAATGCGTTGGGTGAAAGAAATAGTGAAAAAAATCTAGTTATATAATATAATTTTATATACTTCCATGATTTTGAATATAGGATTGATACCAAACACGGTTAGCTAGATATCAAGCAGTATGATATCAAAATTCCACTTGTTAAAGAAATTAATTAAATGATCTCAAATAAAAGTTGGCTAAAAATATATATACATTCCTATGATATTTAGTCTACACAAACAATTAATAATGGTTGACCGTTGGGTTGCCATCTCGAGAAAAATACTATGTTATATCATGACATATGGATAGAGTAAGCAAAAAATAATGTAAATAGAGTGCAATTAGAGACAATAAACGAGTGATTCACTCATACAGCACTTGCTAAAAAAAATCCGTTATTTTCTCACGCCATAAATTTTCTCACTAATTACATAGAATTTAATTTCAATAATTTTTCTTTTTATCAGAGCTCATATTATATATGAGAAATGTAATAAAAACGACGGCAGCTCCGTGCGATGATATTTTTATTTTTGTTCGCGGAAAAAGCAAACAGTTGTCTGGACGAGCTTTGCAAAAACGAAGAATTTCCTAGAAAATTGAATTTTTCTCTTAAAAGCCGGAAATATTTTCTATTCCTGCATCATAGATATATGCATTTGAATAAATTCCAGTTAGATTTATATCATAGGAAAGTGCTGAAGTAATACTTTGCTTGGTAATGGATTTATGTTCTTTCATGATTTTAATTAATAGATTGAGTCTTAATTAATGGATGTTTTGCTTTAAAAACATGATAAATTGTTTGAAAAAAAATATTGATCTATATTAGATACTATTTTATAATTTTTACATTTTCATTTCAATTTTATCTATTACAATTATGCATTTTATTTGCCTCATTTATTCAATGTGTATATGTGATTATCTGATAATTTATATATCTACATATTTCATCATTCACCTGTTGAGGTGTGAATAATTTATGAAAGTCAGATTTGTTCGCAAAACATTCTCTGTTATAAATGGCATTTTGACTTAATTCATTTGATATGCTACACTTTGAATTATTAATATACAAACAAATAAGAAAACTGGTTTAAATTTTATTTTGCATAGAAATAAATCGAGAGTGTCAAAGACGCGATTTGAAAATAATATAAGACTTAAATATATGAGATATATTTCTCATAAATTATAGTTCATCTAAGTTATTATAATTTATTTTCTTAAGTCTGTAGAAAATAAGAAAATATTTATACAAATATTTTTACTAATTTCTTATTAAATTAAATAAATTGAAGGAATTAACTTCATTTTAAAAAACAGGGGCAAATATATTAACTTGTATTAATCAAATTTGTCTGATATGAGTCAAAAAAATAATTATATTAATATTTAAGTAAATGATGATAATAAATATATTTTATAGCTGGTACCATCTAAGTTATTATAATTTATTTTCTTAAGTCTGTAGAAAATAAGAAAATATTTATACAAATATTTTTACTAATTTCTTATTAAATTAAATAAATTGAAGGAATTAACTTCATTTTAAAAAACAGGGGCAAATATATTAACTTGTATTAATCAAATTTGTCTAATATGAGTCAAAAAAATAATTATATTAATATTTAAGTAAATGATGATAATAAATATATTTTATAGCTGGTACCATCTAGTTTTTTTTAGTTTTTAAAGATTTATTTATTTCATTTATATTAGATTATACATACATATTTCTATACAATTTAATAAACATGTATAACTATCCTAAGATATAAATACATAAACCTATATTTAATACTAACTAATAAAAATTAACTTAACCTATAAATAATTTTTTAATCATGGTAAAAATAATCACTGAAAACCATATTTACAATAATAATAACAAAAAGAATACATATTACATATATGATTGGAATATAGTCAAAAGACTAATAACATATGCTGTAGGAACAGTTTAATAGTAATTTGATCTCTGCCATATTTTATACTTGATTATCTTTTTATTGATGATGGTAGCTTGTACTTATTGTACCAATATGTATTGTCGTTCGATCCAATATTACATATATTAGGATTAAAGTTAAATAAACAATTAGTATAAAATCTTTCAGAGATAATTGTTATAAAATCTCTCACTAATGGTACATTAGTGGAATCATGTAGGAATTTTGTGCTAATATAATGCATATTTATTGGATTCCTTGCTTGACCTATAACAAATCTTAATGACACATTTTGTACTGATTGTAGTTTCTTAATATTATGTTTGTTTGTCATACACCAAATAGGGGAAGCATATATCATTGCGGATCTAATTATTGCCATATAAATTCTTTTTTTATTTTCAATATTAATATAACTTTTATAATTTAGCAATGGGTATAATATGTATATTAAATTTTTTAATTTAATTATTTTATTACTAATGTGTTCATTGAAATTAATTTTTCTGTCTAAGATGACACCCAAATATTTAACAGAACTACTCCATGGTATGATATTATTATTAAGATGCAAGGTTATATTGGGTGTAGGATTAATTCTTCTTTTGGTAAAGAATATAGATTCTGTTTTGTCAATATTTATTTTTATTTTCCATTTATTTGTGTATTTTATAATTTGGTTCAAATGACTTTGTAATTTCTTAATGATTGCTTTATCTGATTTGCCACCATCTAGTCTTTACTTTGCTAACTTATAAATAAATTTGATTTTTTTTATTCGTAAATTAGCAGATGATTTTAGTTGATATAACCTCTACTCTATTACTTGTTTATACTAATTAGAATACTAAAAAAAATGATTTTCTAATAATTAGCACTTTTTGTTAATAATAGCAATTTTTTTATTATCAAGGTCATTTTGATATCAAGCAGTATTGATATTTGTTTTTACTTGGAACCCTTTATAGCATTATTGTTCAAGTCTAAAATACTAATTTGACAACCACAATTAAAAACAGTTACCAAACTTACAAACAAAACAATTACTGTAAGACTCCGTAAAATAGACAGTTTTTAATTTAAGTAGAAATACAAAAATTATATTGAACTATATAAGTTTTAGCCATTACTAAATTTTAAAATTTACTTAAATTTTCCTACATACTTTAATACTTTGTCAACCATATATCTAGTATATTGCAAAACTTTGTCTTGAAAAGTATAATATAGTCGCGTGGAAACCATATCAATTAAAATGACATTAATCTAAAACGTTTAATAATTACCATATCAATTTTAATATATTTCATAACGTATGATTTGCTTTGACAACTTGCTTAAAAAATTTATAATATTTATTACTATATATAAATATAAAATAGTATAAATATAAATATTTTATAGCATAAATCGCAGCGAGCAGATCTTACATAATTTAATATTCGCTAATACATAAATTTCATTTTTAATCGCGATTGGAATAAATCATAAAATTTAGCACTTTCTTAGTCGTTTCATTGTGGTAAATATTGGATTACATCTTTAATTTTTATTCATATTTGTATAAAATTTTATATACATTTTTCAGCATATTTTTACATTTTCAAGTGATCTTTTGAAATCTGCAGTTTTACTTCTTTTCCATTTCAGGACCAGTGTAAAATTTACTACATAATACAAAAAATCATATAAAATTACTAATAAAGTGGCAATGCTTCTGAATTAGTCTGATCAAAATTTTGAGTTATAGAGACTAAATATGTAGTGATTGATTATGATAATTTTTATGATTTTTTATGGCTATTTTTATGATAGATTTTTTAAGTTTATTTTAAACTATGTCTTTTATTCCAGATGGTTACATGAGTTCTCCAGAACGTGGAGCACCCAGAGGTGGTGGTTATGAAGAACCCTATTATTCACAGTACGGAACCCGAGCAGGAACAGTCACTCCTGTTATAGACGAAGAAGTCACGTAAGTTATATCTAATAATATTTTAATAAAAAAACATATCTATTACTTTTTTAATCATAAACAAAAACTGTGCTTTAAGAGCACCCCCAGTAGAAATAAATTGTGACTAGATATTATTTTTATGTGGGCGCTATATTAGTCACTTGTATTGCAAACATTTGCCAATATTGGTTAATTACATTTACCCTACATTAAAACCTAATACATAATTTAATAATATTTAACATAATTGACTTCATAATTGTAAATTGGTAAATTATATTAATGAAATAGTCAAAAAAAACACCTCTGTCTACCTGAGATATGAAAATAATATATATATATACATATAAAAATAAAAATAATAATAATATTAATCTAACTTTATGAACCGCATATTGGTAAATATTATTAACCCCATGAACAAAACAATATTGGTCTTGGTATCAGTAAATAAAATTAATAAATAAAAGTAAATAAATTTCATAAAAATGATGCTTTTGTGAAGAAAATGGGTAATATGTTTTTCAAGCCAAAATTACAAAGCTACAAACTTTTAATAAATTTTTTACCATTCCATAATTACAAAACAATTATTTTGTAGTTGTTTGTTAATAAGAATTTTATATATTCATTTCATTATGCGATATTATGTAATAAATTTAGATATACTTTACCCAAATCCATAACAAAAATCATTTCAAGAATTTGGTCAATCTCACGCAATTATAAGCATTTTTATTTTCATATATTATATTTTTTGCGAATCCTATATAAAAGAAATGAGAGCTTTGAAAATATTCCTATAGAAATATTCCTATTTCATTAAATACAATTTCGTCTACTTATATTTGTTTGAACGAAGAATATTGAGAATTGTGATCACTCATGCAAAATATCCTTTTTATCAATTCTTCTGTATTTTTTCTGAATTATACTCATATACTTTTATAATTTACATTATATATATATATATATATATATATATATATATATATTATAGATGAAAGTCAATATAAATATTTTGCAAAAGAAATGATTTACCTGATATTTTTGAATAGCACTTATCTCATTTTTTAATGATTTATATTTTCTGTATTTGGGTTTTTATTGGAAAATTATTCAAATTATACTAAAAATATTTCTTTGGAATTAAATAATAAAAATGTAAATTATTAAACGTTGTTTTATCAACCCATACACTTGCCATACAATTTTGATAGAAAACTTATATTATTGAATTAATTAATATTTTATAAATTAATTATTGATATTGTTATTTTATTTATATTTATTTTATTTATATTTTAATATTTCTTAAATTTCAGCTAATTAAAACCTATAAATTTTATAATAGGTACTATACATCATTGAATAATTATTTGCTTAAATTTGTATAATTAGTAATATAGTTACTCAACTATATATTTTCACCTCATTATAAAATTATGGTAAATTTTGAACATTACTTTAAAAATTGTCTCTTTCATTTAAAATTTTATTTAGAATTCGTGACCGATAAGTTTTTAAATGATTTATCAAAAAATGTATTTATGGTCATAAAATTATTACTTCTCTAATAAAAGGGTTCGTCAAATAACTTTTTGCTGTTGAAAATCCTATAAAAAACCACTGAATATTTTCTCAATTTTATTTATTTGAAAATACAGTCTTTCCGGTTAAAATGGAAAGTAATTTAAAAAAGAAACTGGTCAAAGAGGAAAATGAAGACCTATATATTTTTAGAACAAAATTATAAAAAAGCGTTAAATGACTAACCCTGTATATAATCTAGTCCTAGTGCTATTATAAGTACATATTAATATAATGCGAAAAGCATTATGCGGTTATATAGAATATGTAAATAACTTATCGTATCATTTGCATTACAGAGAACCTTCATTACTTGATGAAGGCTATTCGTTGTATGGCGTCAAGTTGCCCCCTGGGGGCCCCAGGAGTTCGGCGAGGCCCCCTTCGGCGCAGCCCTATGATCCGCCCAGGTCAGTAAATAGATAAAAAAATAAAGTTCTCACATTTGTATGTCTCACTTGTTTGGTATTTAATTATATAAGAAATTTGGTTCTTTATTTTTTAAACATTCTGTAAGTTAATTAGAGACTTTCTTTAAACGAGGTCAAGTTTACAAAATTATCTTTTGAATATTTAATTTTGTCAAATTTTTTTTTTGTTGTTTTGTAGATAGATCTTTGAACTCTTCTTAAAAATGATACCAACTAATATTTATTTTTTCAATTATTTTTTTCTTTAGACACAGTGACGAGTTGCATCGCATGCGCGTGGAACACATGGAGCGCCAACTAGCCAATCTGACAGGTCTGGTGCAAAAGGCGTTGACTCAGGCACCAGGAACTGCACCACAGGCAGCCCCGAGGGAATTCCTGCAGGTACCCGGTGGACAAGGCTACACGAGAGGTGAGTTAAATTGGTAGATTGATAGATACGTATACCAAGTTTGATTTTGGTACTAAGTTTTTGAACTTTAGAGGCGTTCATTAATCACGTGATAGATGTTTTAGGGATTTTTGGACCTCCCTCTTCTCTTGGTAATGCGTCAAGATATTTAGACTTACCTTTCCCCGCCCCCGACCTACTAAACATCACGTGTATTTTTAGTTAAGGGGGTATTCTAGGGTAGAAATTCAAAAAAAAACAATTTTATTTTATTTCATATTTTCAAAGTTTATCTAAGAATATGGGTACGAGAAGGTTTGAATTATTTTTGGAGATATAGGCATTTTACTGACTCGGTCTCCATACCGGTTTGGCTTCACGCAAAACTATAAATGCGTTTTCCTCAGAACAGACTTTTTCAGTACTGTTGACACGATTTCTCGAGTTGTAATCGACCGATTCACTTGAAATGTCTTGTTTATAGACCTATCTATAGCCCGAACTAGGATTATCCCCAAATTCCAATTTTTACTATTTTTAAAAAATTCGAGAAACTCAAAAAAACAGTAAAAAAACAGTTTTTTTATTTTTTGCATTTTTTTTTGCATTTTGCATTTTCGATGGCTAGGATGGCTGAAATCATGTCAAGACTGAGGTGCCAATTTTTTGAGACCACCCACTTCATCAGTTTCCAGCTTTTACAATTTTCAACTTTTTTATTTTTTAATTCTTGTTTTGTATTTTAATAATATTAATAAACAAGTCGTAAAAAAATGGATAGTAAAAACATTCATTGCTTTCTTTTACGACACTTTAAAAATGACTTAAAATTCATCGCTCTACACTAGAATACCCCCTTAAGTAACGAGTTTTTCAAATTACGAAAAAAAGTTTTTTTTTGAAAATTGAGCTAAGAAACAAATACACGTGATATCTTACTAGAACCCTCCCTAACCGACGTGATTTTTTATAATTTTTTGTCGAACCCCCCTTTTCTCTAAAAACTTCACGTGATTAATGGACGCCTCCTTCGATAAATTTCGTCTTTTGATATGTAAGCTAAATAAAATATTAATGAATAATTATTTTCATTTTAAAAAGCTGTATACCTATAGTTATACCTATCATCAAGAATATTATTGATAATGCAATGAAAATTGATTCTTGAATGAATATGATGATGAATATTTTTGTAGTTTTTTTTTCTGGTAAAGTTTAAAATACGTAAAAATTTATAATCGGTTTTATAAAGTTAATTATTCTATACATATATACACAAATATTATAAATAATACGTAAATATAAGATTTCAGAATTTTGAATCAGGAGTTTTAACGAAAGTTCATATAAAAAACATAACACGTTTTGGAACTACTCACCTAGAAACTATTTAGTGTTTTATAAAAATTCCATTATGATTTATGATCATTGTTATTGTTAATATGGATTTTTTCGAATTTCCTTGCTCCCAGGGGCTCTAATGCTTCCAAATTGACAAAAAAAAATTATCTAAAACTTTTAAGTGTTAATATTAACTCTAAGATAGTCCGCACTCCAACCAAAGTTTCTTGGTTCTTTTTCCTAAGTAAATACTTGTTTTATAAAATATATAAAAATTTTCTTGTAATAAATAAGTAAATGCCATGTTATTCTCTAAAAATTATGATTTACTTGTCGCTAAGTTATAAAATTCAAACGGAATTTTACCCATGTCATTTCTATAAGAAATTTTGGTTCGAGTGCGGACTATCTTAAAGTTAAAATTAAGATCTAAAACTTTCAGAGAATTTTTGTTCATCATTTTGGAAGCGTTTCAGGCCCTAGGAGCAAAAAAATATATCCATATTAAGATCCACCATAATATATATAATTATTCACGGTTATTATGTCTATTTTAACAATATTTTAGTGGATGCATGGGGTGTGTTTTTTATTCAATAACATATTTTCATGATATAATATTTAAGATTTACATTATCTAGTTTAGTTAGTATTTTTCATCATCGCTTTATACGAGGTGCGCTTAGAAAAACTAATTTTGAAAAAGTAGATACAAATTATGCAGCATATCATCATTTCAATTCAAATTATTGTAGAAGTTATAAGGAATAACGTATGATATTTTATAGTTTGTTTTTATTTTTAATATTTTATTGATATCTTGTTTCTAGGAAACCAATATTCTATTGAATTCCTAGATCTTTTATTAAAATTTTCATTCTTTTTTATACTTTTTTTAACGTCACATTTTATATTATTTTAAACTTAATTTTTCCTACATTATTGTTATAAAAAATATTCAGTAGATTCATTAAAAAGACTATTTTTATTTAAACCCTCGTCATGACTTATATGATATTTTAGTTTTTTTTTTTAGAAACATGTAATAATTTTTAATCATCTCATAGTTTGAAAACATTTTTGTCTACATTTTGTCTTAGATGCAATTTATGCTTGTTTACCTAAAATGTGCATATAACAATACTGTGCCAATAACGAATGTTGCTTTAAAATTTTACTTTGATAATATTTTTATTTTTGATATAAATTTTAATATGTTCACTGCGTTTATCACGAAACTAAATTTTAAATTTTTAAAATAAAAT